CCAATTACGTTAACCATGTAATTTTAGTAACATATTTCGCTTTTTAAATCTTTGTTAATTCAGCAACCGTCCGTCGTGAGCACAGAAATCGTAATAATAGTGTCTTATTATTACGATTTCTGTGGTCGTGATGTTTCTCTCGAAGTTCGCATGTCGCAAGGCGCAGACGCGTGATATACGCGGGTGAAACCGCGGGGCACAGCTAGTAGCCTATAAATCACATTCAATTTCGGATAGTTTCAAATAAAAGTAGAAGTAAGGCTTCTGCCCGTATTTTCAAAAACTGCCATAACGGTATAACATTATTTATATTATTTTTACGTGGTACAGCCATTTTTTGTCACATAAGTTGTCACCCTTATCCTATAAAAAAAAGTGCATCGTCACTCCTGAAGACTAAGGAGAAAGAGTTCACTGTGTTGTTACTCCTTTCAAAAAAATAAAGCAGATGAGAGTTTCCGAGCATACATACTCTATGTTTTTACGAGAATAGTATCTTTCTATGTCATATCTAATCTCTACGTAGAGCATTATTATTCTTTACAACTTATTAGATTACGGATCAGGATGACCGATGTATTTGAAGTATTTGTGTGTGATTAAATACAAGACATCCTTGGATCACATTAGCATTCCGCTAAATATGGACAGAAGGCGAGAGAATGATCCTGGTTACAATGATGTTTAAGGCTCTGTCGACATGTACCTATATAATAAAAGGGAATAATCAACTTTTAGCTAAGTTATTGCAAAAGTATTCTTTCAAAACTATTCTAAAAATATTCTTCCGTCGATTACTTTAAAATTTAGCTTTAGAATAATACGTAAAAGTGCCCTGTCAACAAAATGTCCCTTATTTAAAAGTAATAATGATCTCGTATCACAAAGAGTGCTAGACATAAACAATATTTGCTTAATACTGGAGCTATAACTTTATAATTACTGTCGAATTTTAGTTTAAATATTTCTAAAAATTCACCTTTTATTAATAATTACAGCCTAAATAACTGCTTAGACTTTTAAACATTTATCACGATGTAATAACAACGTAAATAAAATCATTTTAATTGATTATTACGAACGTATTGTTGTTACCAATTACTACAAAATGTTTATTCAGAAGTAATAAGCAAAATTGCCCTACGTAATGATCATAATGTACAAATAACACGCAATTTTATATTTTCTCTATCGTTGAAGTGTTTTTCTTACAGCAGGTACTTTTAGCTTTGCTCGGCGTTAGAATATAAAAAAGTTCTGAGAGATTAATCAACCGATGGGGAAAAAGGTTCTGGAGTGGCACCCTCGTACCGGTAGGCGAAGTGTAAAACTAGATGGAGTGACGACCTGGTAAGACAGGAAGTCGATGGATGCAGGTGGCTCAAGACAGGGTTCCGTGGCATAACTTGGAGAACGCCTATGTTCAGCAGTGGACATGTGAGGGGCTGTAATGATGACGATGATGAATGATGAGGGTAATCCCTCCGAAAAACCGAAAAGTTATATATATATATAACATTAAACCAGTTACATATTGTATTATAGTTTTATTTTTTATTTTCATTTTTCAAAAAATGTATTGTATAGATTTAATTGTATACTGATAAAACAGTGATTTTTAGTAAAAATACTGTAATAAAATATTTTTCGACCAAACCTCACGGTTAAAAAGTAAGCCCTAAAAATTAACGCTACTTCCGTGTAAGAATATCCACTACCCCATATCGTCCCGTGGGTGTCGTAAGAGGTGGCAGAGGGAAACAAACCAGGAGATATAAATACAACTAAAAAATAAAAAAATATGAGGAGGTTCATATTCGGCAGTGATATTTTGATAAGCTGTAATGAATTAATCTATTATAATTTACTTTTGCCAAGCTGTGATTCCTGTGCGCTAAAATACTTAGTAACGAAAAGAAAATATTTTTTATTATAGAGGGACCAAACGAGCATGCGCCGTAAGTGACTACCGCCGCCCATGAACAACCGCAACACCAGGGGAATTGCAGATGCGTTGCCGGACTTTTAGAAATGTGTAAGCTCTTTTCTTGAAGGTCCCTAAGACGTATCGGTCCGGTAAAATCGACGGTGGTAAACAATTCCACAGAGAAGTTGTACGAGGAAGAAAACTCCTAGTAAAACATACAGTCGTGGACCGCCAAGCATCCAGATGGTGAGGGATGGTATCCTGTGTGCTGTCCACACGCGGTAGAAGTGAAACCTTCAGACAACTAAACTTCGAGAGAAAGAAATGAGACGAATTACGAGTATCAGGAGTAACATAATGGTAGGGTTTATTTATTATAATATTGTTGCCAAGTTTAAAAAATATTTTAAATTTTATTCTACACATATTACATAACATATTATACAGACTCCAAGTTTTCAATTTCATCATCCTAAGTACTTAAATATTTTCTAACAAGAAATTTTGTCCTACTTACTGGTCATATATCAGATCACATGCATATTCTCCATACCTAATAGGTAACTGTATACTGCTATCTCATTATCTTGCAGGTTAAATCCTATAAATGTTTTAGTTTTAGTTTCAAATCACAACGATTCTAAATTTTAAAGAAGTGTTCACATAAAAAATTTACCAAATTGCGGAACTCCAACTCGCTCACTCCGGTGTGGTACACCTGCGCACCTGTTGATTTGTCCGCTAAAACACAAAGATAACGAATTTCCCCGGGAAAGATACGTACGTAAATCGATATTTGCCACTGGTAATGTAAAATACACCCAAATATTTAGAGCCGTTTTCGAGAACGCGATTACAAACAAATAAATATACAAATATAAATACTGCTCCTGTAATGTGGAGGCATGAAAAACATCGTGTAGTGGCGCTGGAAGAATATCCACTACAATGGGGTTGTTATAAACTAATTTGCTTAATTCCGTGTAAAGAAAGAAAATGATGTGTCCTGCTCAGTTTTAAGGGGACCTCCCACCCTCCCTCAATCAGCGGCCAGCCTCCGCAGAGTCTACTTCACCTGAGGATGCCTCGTGTAGAGGCGAAACACGTGCCGTATTTTCGAGAGTGGTGTGTCGTGCCTAGTGTAATATATCGTCCAATGGGTGTCGTAAGAGGCGACAGATGGAAATTAAAACGGAAGATGGGCAGCGGTGGTTGCCTAGCATCCTGCTAAGCGTGGCAACTATGGCAACATCTCATCATCCTCCCTGTGAGGCAATATGTGAGAGTCCTATGTTAGGCAGTGGACTTTTACAGGATGTAATGGAATATGAAAAATGCACACGGACAAATTTGCAACACCTGGAACAATAATTTGTAGGCCATACAAACTCTTTTCCTTGCGGGTTTCGAACCCGCGGGCTCGCAGCGCTTCGCCTTGCGCTACCCAGTCATCAATATTATGTTATATAAATTTTATGTATTATCAACATTTTCCTAATTTCTCTCTCAATTATTTGAAATAATTGAAAGTTGACTATTAACAAATTTGCACCAGCCTAAAACTACAAAACAGAAATCTTGGAGATTACATGTTGTGTTTCAATGATGTCCTGTTAAATTCACTATGCTTAGCGTGCAGATTGCCGTTGGCTACCTCTGAACATCTGTCTACAAGACAGCTCCGTGGCGCAGTGGCTTAGCAATGACTTGAAGCCCTGAGGGCCGCGGGTTCAAATCCCGCACGGAACAAGTACCTACCTACTTATATGGCCTACAACCAATAAGGGCTAATAATCTTACGCTCACCAGATGTCGCAAATTGGGACTGAGGTGATTTTATTTATCACGGAAATGGTCAATCAGTGTCATCATCATGCGTTGCGTTTTAAATAATAGTTTTTTTGGTTTCCATTGTATGTAAATACATTTGTGGTCTTTAATTTTTTTTTACATATTTTTAACTTTTTTTAAATCTTCTACTTTTAAAACTATCCGATATTTGGTTTATCCATTTCGAATATAATAAATTTAAATATAAATAATATTTCAGAAAGAAACATTAATATCTACATCTACACATTTCTATAAAGTTAATATGAAATCTATAAAATATTACATCTCATTTCAAGGTGGTGCTGCCGCCCTGGTGGCAGAACTGAAATCGTGAATATTACGGATGTTTGACCTTGTGAAATTTTTGTATCTAAACTACCCCACGATACAGAAGAAATTTCTAGTGGGAAGGTAACATTTTTTTAACAAAAAATAAATAATAAAAAAAACACGGGAGGGAAATACGGATAATCATTCATAGTAAGCGTCTTCAAACATAAAAATTACGTTTAATCCTCTAAATTATGAACATGAAGACCTCTTGTCTTGCAAAGCACTGATAACGACAGAGATAAAAATGTATTTACTCTTACACATACAATGTACATACCTAAGACAAATATTATTTATTGTATAAAAGACATTTACATAAATGTGAAAATTTATCGTAAAAGTTATCGCTCATAATTACTTAGGTATTCATGTATTTTCAGTTTTCATTACAATGTCACGCCTCTATAAAGTTCACGACATGAAATAAAATTATGTAAAATAATGCTACTTCCACGTAAGTTTAATTAATGTACAATTCAATGTAAATTACTGGATTATTGCCTTGAAACCAAAAACTTCTGCTAAGTCAGTCACAGTTTATAAAAAAAATTTATGTCTATTTTTTTAATATAGGTACTATCTAAGAGTTCTAGTTCTATGTATATCGTAGTGCTGTTTACATAGAGGATTAAAATCAAGCGAAATTAGTAATGACATTAATAGTTTTTCATTACTCCTTTTTTCTTTTGCCTTTTTACATGCAATATTCTAATACAATAAAAACTGTGTTTTTATTATGTTTTATGCAAAACCGAAACCTAAAATGAAAAGAAAACTTACTCCAGTATTTATTAAGAATATTTTAGATATTATACAATATAAATATTGAACTAAACAAGTTTATGTAATAAATAAATTTTCTGAAAAATTCTTCACTTAAATATAAATCTGTAAAAGCTTAACTTACCCTGCGCAAAATCCTTTTCAGGTTGATGTTGAATCAGAGACCTAAAAAAAATTATCAAAACTATTCCCACGAATAACGCAATAAATAACATCAAATATTTAAATACAATCTAAATCGTAACACATCAACCACAACACTTTCAGTATATATAAAGGTACTCTGTGCACAACACTATTCACAGTCCCGTAAAAATATCGAAAACGGAACGACTTCCCGCCAATGTACTGTCAAGCGACTGCAACGTCGAATGTCAAAACAATCGAATATCGCGATCAAACCATATCAACGCTAAAATCACATTGTACAATACGGTTAACTTGACAAGTTACATAAAACATATTCACAAAACTCACGAAGTATCCATTCTATTTTATGCGAATATATAAGCGAGTCCGAACACGAGGAGCAACATGCTTCATTCATGCGACTAACGCTTTGAGTATCACGCCACAAGCTACAAGCAAACCTGTCCTTGCTATATAATTAAACGTCTAGACGTATAACAAACGTACTGGAATATATAGAGCGCTTTTTGCTGTATTGTAAGAAACATTATCGTATGATCCCAATGAACTCCTATTGATATGATCGCTTACGATTATAGCTGTTGCCTATAGCCTATATTGTTTGAATATAGCGACATAATATGATCTGCACAGTTAAATAAAAAATTTACCGGTGTTTTAGCAATATTAAATGATACCAGAGCGAATATTAAAAAAGTAAAATTTAAGCTTTACTTTTAATTTCAAGCATTATTGCAAAATGCCAATGTGCAAATGGTAGAATTATAATATGAAAACTCTCTTTAATGAATTATTTACATGCTTAATATATATATATATATATATATATATATATATATATAATAGAAGCTTCGCAGTCCTCTGAACATGGGAATCTCCCAAGCCACGCCATTTAGCCACAGATTACTTAATAGTTTACATTTAGCCCAATCTAGGGCTTCACACATGTTGTTGACAGCTGTCTTGCGCAGATCGTCGCTGGTTGTCGTTACGTGCACTGTCCAGTTTTTTTTATTATTTATTGTGTAATAACATTTTACAGTAGTTTTTATGTTTAAATATTTTTGAAAATTATCCACCAAGAAGCAGAAAGCATTGTAACCAGCGACGGACAGCTGCAAATTATATGTTGTCTATGAAAAATAATTATTGAGATCAAGTTCTTACTTCTATTAAGTATGTTATACGTTTAGGTTATCTGTGGCTTACTAAGTATCAATTTTATCAACTGCTTGGCGGTGAAGGAAAATGTGACTAATGTGGAAAATTATACTAAATTAGTCTCCGCGATTGCAATGACAAATCCGCTGCCATAATAAATATGTATATATTCTTTTTTTATACAGAAATGTATGTAATAGTAGTAAAAAAAATATCAATATTCCCATTATCTACGCCAAGTTAGCTTAAAATGCTTGTATTTGCTTATGAGAAGCTCACCGCAGTAGTCAAATGGTGGAATTTAAGCCCACGACTAAAGTTCGCGGTTCGTACCGTTAACCTCTAGTTTGACGACTCCGTGGCGCAGTGGCTCAGCAATGAGTTACGGCGCTGAGAGCCGCGGGTTCGAATCCCGCACGGAAAAAGTATTTGTATGGCCTACAAGTAATTGTTCCGGGTCTGGATGTTTGTCTTTGTGAAATTTATGTATGTAAACTGCCCCCACGATACAGGAGAAAATCCTAGTGTAGAGGTAACGTTTTTAAAAAGAAAGAAGAAGAAGAAAAATGTCGCTTCTAGAAAGCGCATTTTGTAATATTTTTAGGCATCATCAACACCACCCTATTTAAGTTCACATCTGGGAAGATATCTTTCTGGGAATCCAAACCCCGAGCATAGCGCTCTCCATAGCTCACTGAGCGATCTTGATCTTCCTCATACGGCCAGCAGTGAAGGACCACGTCTCAGATCCATGTTATCACTGGCAACACGCTCTGGTTGTACACTCTCGTCTTCAAGTTTTGAGTTATAGCTGACGAGACGATGTGTCGTAATTTCCCGAACGCTGCCCAGCCTAGTTGAATCCGTCGATTGACCTCTCGGTCGAAGTCTGACCTACCTAGTCGGACTATTTGTCCAGGTAGTATAATAATACTTATTAAACAAACTTTGCTTAGTAAATATTTTAAGCTTTTTGATAGTTTGATTTGAATTAACATACGGAATTATGTGCCCAGTTAACCAGTAACACAAGCACGGAATAAATAATAATACTCCGTAACACAAGTTACAAAGACGCAATATTAAAAAAAAACTTTTAATAATAAGTAACAGCTGGTTATATGGAACTAAAAATAATAAATTAATTTCCACGTAAATACGCTTCCTAAATTCAGCGCTAATACGTCCCGAGCGTGCGGTGCGTGCGTAGATGCGTGCGTGCGTACGTAATTGCGCGAGTGCTTGCGTGCGTAAATGTGCATAAAATTAGGAGAATATACAGTAATCTGAAACGGAGTATATTTTAGTAGTAGTAGTAGTTTTACGGCTCTTTAGCGCAGTGGCTAAGCATTTGGCTGCGGTGCTACGACCCGCGAGTTCGGAACACGCACGGGACAAGTATTTTACGGCCTATATATATATATATATATATATATATATATATATATATAATCTTAATCATTACAGCACTTCGTTACAGTCTCGGAAAGCACGTAAAGTCGTTGGCCCTGCGCCTGATCTGTCTCCTGTCTCCGCTCTAGTCAGATTATCAACCCATCGTACTGAGACAGTAAGGGATTAGAGAGTGCCTCTGTGCTTACTTGCACTTACTCGTTCGCTATAATCCTATACTGTGCTAGTCTCCTCGATCTGGATGACATTATTATCATACGAGGGTGACACTTAAAGTCTTTAGAAAATCAAAAACTGAACAAACTAGCAAATTATTATTTTTATTATATCTTTTCAAATTAGGGTCCATTTACATCAATACATCGCTGCATCCGATGAAACCACGGAGAAAAGCACTTTTCCCACTCGTTCTTAGGGGTCTCTTCGACGGTATTTTGAAACGCATCCAATGCTTCCTCGGCATCCAAAAAACGTTTTCCTCGAAAATTTTCTTTTGTTTTCGGAAATAAATAAAAATCGCAAGGTGCGAGGTCGAGGCTATAGGGCGGCTGACCCAGTAATTCCACGTTTGACGGTGTGCGACGAGGCGTTGCCGTGGTGAAGGAGGATCCTACTGCGAGGTCGTTTCTCCCGAACTTTTTCCAAGACAAGTGGCAAAAAATTGTTAGTGTACCACTCTGCAGTAACTGTTTTTCAATCCTCTAAAACAATTGTTGCGTAATGATCGGTCCTTCCGAAGAACGAGGCCACCATCTTTTTTCCCACACTTTGACTTCTCTTCATTTTAGTTGGCAACTCCTCGGAAGGAAACACCCAGACAGCATACTGTCTCGTAGTTTCAGGATCATAACAATAAATCCAGCTTTCGTCACCCGTAAGTATGTCGAACACAGCATTTGAATCACCTCCGTTAAATCTTTGAACCATTTCACGACACCAATCAACACGACGGAGTTTAAGGGCCTCTGTCAAATTATAAGGTAGGAAGCTTTGTGCCCGGTAACCACCGGGCACAAAGCTTCCTGACCGCTAAATGCTCATGGAGGATTTTGTGCACTTGATATACCGATGCCTATGCTTGTCCGAATCTGCTGATAAGTCACTATTTTGTCAGTCTCTATCATACGCCGCACAATCAGTATGTTATCTTCAGTCGTCGCCGTAGAAGGCCGTCCTTCATGCAGATCATCGGTGAGATTAGTGCGACCACGTTTAAACTCCTTAAACCAGTTGTAAACAGTGGCACGAGATGGGGCTTCATCGTGAAAGGCCAATCGAAGTTTTTTTTTATAGGATAGGGTGACAAACGAGCACACAGTCCACCTGATGGTAAGTAGTTACTGTGACCCATAGACATCTACATCTATCCTCAATAAAAACTCATGATGCAGATGCGTTGTCACCCGTGAGGACTAAGATGGAATGCCTCTTTGCCAGTAAAAGGGGTCTCCGGTTCTCTACACTCACCATACGAAACACAGCAGCGTTAAGCTGCTATTTTACGCTGGTTTCTGTGAGAGCGTAGTCCTTCCCCGGTCTAGCCGACCCATTCGTGCTACAACTATACTACTAATATAGCTGCAGTAGAGCCATCTACCACTTAAAAAAAGTTTATCATAACTTTCTTGTTGACTTAAATGACATCTAAATTCATAAAAAATCATAATACGAAAATTTTCTCGCGTTAAATTCATGCTGACGTGACATAGACAATTATCAATTTGCTGCCAAATCGTAAACAAATGACAAATTAATAAAATAAATACACAAAAATATTGGCAAAGAGTTACATTTTCAAACTTTGAACTTATTTTTTTATTATATCGTTTACAAGTGGCCAGTTCTAAAAACTTTCAGTGTCGCCCTCGCACGTTGGTTTAGTGCAAAAAAAAGAAAATCACAAAATCTGTAATTGATAGACGGCCTTCTGGTGGAGATATAAATAAATCAGACTCATCGCTCGCCCTACTGGAAAGGTAAAGCTAATGCCCACTGGGCCATCTAGTAATCATATCAATCAATTTAAATTTAAATTTATAAATGAATTACTTTTCTAATAATAATAATTTAAACTTGACATTTAATTGTTATAATCATAATAATAGAATTAATTTAATAAACATAAATAATTTAATTAAGAAATTTTTGACCACAGATAGGTATTTTACCTATAGCGGGACAGTATTTCATGCCGGCACACCATTTGCAACTTTATTAGGCGCAGGTTCGGCCTCACATGGAATACTGTTCCCATCTCTGTGCAGGGGCTCGCAGTGCTAGATCCTTCCACTTGACCTAATCCAGTGCAGAGCGGTTCGAATCGTCGACGACTGAATTCTTTCCGATCGGCTTGACTCACTAGCACTGCGTAGAAATGTTGCATCTCTTTGCGTATTTTATCGCATCTATCACGGGGAGTGCTCTGAGGAATTGTTCGGACTACTTCCAGCCAGTCAGTTTCACCATCGCACATCGCGACAAATCTCACGAT